AATACGTTTCGGCATTTAGTACCGAAAAACGTAAATAAACTGCATTTGCTATGGGTACCGGGCCATCGCGGATTATATTTGAACGAAATGAGGGACTCTTTAGCAGCAATATCCCTGAGTGGGCCCACCATCTCAGTTTCGCCAGATACGGCTTACGTGACAGCGCTAAGGTTCCGAAATGCTTGTCTGCAATGAGGAAAGGGTAATTTGGATAAATTTAAAGATTTCCAGCATATAAGGTAATGCTGGAATAAACAGTGGTGTGTATCTCGCCTGTTAGAGGTCACTATACTGTGTGGTCACCACTGTAGGCTGAGGTCACCCTCAGTCTACAGTGGCTTCGCAGCCACTCTAGACTGAGGGCCAAGCGTTAACTGCTGTATTCAAGGGAGGTTGCGGCCAGGTATTGCGCCAGGGGGGCCAATTCTGCTCGCCAGTGAGTTCGCGCCCCAGACCTATTATTTTTTTAACTACCTTTTCCACGCTTTTTACGTAAATATACGATTGGGAATGGTCCGGTATCTGCTTCTGAACCAAATTTCATTATTGCTCTCTAGGTTGCTGCATACTCTTTACAGAGGGTTTTGTTGCACTTTCTTAGCACTGTAGAATACCACCTCAGCTCCTATAAGCTCTTATATTCACCAGACTCGTAGCTTGCCTTGCCTTCTTTACTTAACTGTTTGAAAGTTCATTTCCACCTAAAAATATACGCGACGTGGTTTCGAACTTCTTACCTTGCGAGCTTAGGCTAGCTAAGTGCCTTGGATAATCCTCTTTTTCACTCGTTTGTTCTTTCCCAACTTCCTGTTTCGCTCAATTTTGACATAGTTGGCTTCAAAGGGTCCGCAATTTTGTGGTCGCACTCGCACTGTGACGTTTACTGTCGACTGATGAGTTGCACGCACCTGTTTTGCGAAGTAATTGGCTACTTATATGTGATTGTTACGTTGAGTTTACACGTTGCGGGAGGTAGGAAAGCATGGAAATAATCCCGAAAAGTTACTAACAGCTAAAAAATAAACAGCCACTGCACTTAAGGCTGCATCTTTTTTTGTTCGAGTTTTGGGGTAGTAATAAGGCTTTGATAACTGCAAAAAGTGCCCGTCTTTTCACGAGCCTATTGTACGTAAGAAAACTGGTCTTATGTTTTCCAAGGTACGTTCGGGTCGACCATGTGTACCTTTATTTCACGCTGCGTGGTACGAGATGACTCCACAAAGTGAATGCTCTCACTCACATAGGCAGGCGCTGGCTTCATCATCAAGGGGGTGGAGAAGGTTGTTCGTGGGAGCACCCCGTTACTGAGTCAAAATCCGAGACACACTTTTCGACCCCCCCCCCCCCAACCCTCTCCCTTCATTAGGTGACTAAGCCTCTCCTGAGCACGCACATATGGCCATGTACTCGGGAATCGAAGTTGGGCACATCATATAAGCTTTCATAATGATGTGAAGAGCAGGCTTTTTTCGCATGCATTCAAAGTGCAATGAAATTAGGTGGGCCCGGGTTCCAGTTAGGTCGTTTTAGATACCTGCAATCGACGGCCTGAGATGCATACGATGGTACAATGGATATTTTATTTGTTAAATTTTTTCTATGTGCTCGTGAATAATATCAGACGCTTGAGGCGCATTATATTTCGTCATTCACACACTCCGATTACACGAAACGTGACGGAACCACGAAATTATTTTCATTTTAATAGCTATTCCCCTGATACTGAATGATGAACATGAGCTTAGAATTCAATGAAGAAACCACCCATAGTTGCTGCATCGAAGCAGCCGTCCCGTTTACGGGATTTTCTTTCAATAAAGATTCTAGTTACTATTGCACTATTCCCCAGAGCTTTGTCGGAATACGCGCTAACGTAGAAAGCAGCTTTCAACTTCACTTAGCCGCATCGTTTATTGACAAACTTTTAGCAATGTCATCTTGTTTTCCTAAGTGAACTTACTGGGTTGAAGTGCACTTACTGAAAAGCACTCCACTTGAGTGACTTGCATCTGTTTGATTTTAAACAACGTCTGCGTTTACTTCAGTGTTAATTTGGCACCAAGGCGTGCGGCGAAAACAGATACTTTGAAGCACGTCTTTGTGCACAATGACATTGCGTCTTAAACGAAAAACACCATCTACGCGTGTGTCATAGACCCGCTTCAGTGAATGTCACAGCTGAACTTACATGTCTGTTTTCTTTAACGTTGTCGTAGTTGCTGTACGCGCTTTCGCCACTCCTGACGTTCCTTTTCGTGTAGTATTCTGAATGGGCGTGCGCAAGGGGAGAGGGGAACGAAAACGGGTCTGCAACCTCTCTCCCCTTCCCTTATTCTTCTAAAGTAAGGCGTCAATTCTGCTTCGGGCTTCGCTTTCTTGAAAAGTTAACGCCATTTCAATGCGACGGGTTATGACTACGAACGTCTGTTTTTTTTTATAATTGCAGCCAATGACCGCTATGTTGAATTCAAGCAACTGTTTACTTCTCATATTTGCCCCGGGAAAGCCGGGGAACAATGGCAATCACGTCATTACTTATATTTCATTACTGCATCTACTGCACAGCTTGTCTTCCATCGCATTCAATAGGGCACTGAGTGGGGCACTGCAATAAAGCTTGCCCATCTCCAACAACGTGGTGCCATGCGCCTATATCTTCAGCTGCGCGAATTTGATGTTCTCGTGCATCGCCGGGATCTAACGAAGGTGTTGATGGGGTCAGCCGCTTCGCAGCCGGAAAAGGGGTTTACCATTCCGGGCTTCACTCATGGAGAGTTTACCAGCCAAAAAAAAAACGAAGTTCTCGACAACATCGACTACTGTAATCAAGCGAATTGAATAGATGTACTCAGTCAAGTGCGAGTTACTGAAATCGAACAGCGCGCCAAACCAGAAACCACGTGACCAAAACCAACTTATGCTTGGTTTTTTGTGTGACGTCATTTTTGTGCAGCTATGGCGTGTGGCACTGTCTACCACACTTTTTCACTGATGCCATGTGACACCGCATTGGCAGTTGTATGCAGCACCGTCTTCAGCCACTTCCACTGCTGCATTGTTCGATCGATTCTTGCCCTCCGCCGACTGCCACCGACGTGATTGGTTCGCTGTTAGTTCACCGGAAGAATTTGGAGCTGTTCTCAAATAAGCATGTATTGTTTTATTTTAGCTCAGTTTCAGTAACGTGATGTGAAATTCAAATGTTCTGTGCCTTGTGCTGATGACAGATTCTGTTAGTCGAAGTACAGATCAATCAGAGGAGCCCCCGGCCACGCATGTGTTCGCGTTTGCACGAGTGTGCGCGTACTTGTGCGTAGAGTACTATTCTCCTCCTCTGTACTCCCTTCTCGTGTGCGGTTTCATTCACGCACTTGTCATTGTGTGCGTTTGTACCTCGACAGTATGTGCATGCGGCTTGAGTTTTCCGTCGTGCCTGTTCGTTCATTCTCGTTTCATCACACGTCGATGTGTTAGGTCGTTTGCTGTTGCGCGTGCATAGCTGTGCTTCACGCAACCACTTATCTCTTGGTTCAAATTCTGCTGCGTGATAACTGGGATACCTTGTATGTACATAAAGTAAAAACAATCCCGACATTCATTGTTTCACTTCGCAGCTGCAACCTAGCAGTTAAAAAGAGGTACCCGCACACACACACACGCAAACCAATGCTGCACAAGAGAAAAAAAAACGCCAGGCCTGCGCGGAAGGCGCAGTACAGTCATAGCGATAGCTAGAATAGCAGCCTTTCAGAGCCTTATTTATACACTCATTAGGTAAGCACTGCAAGTACATACACTTGCCTGATACCCACAACGGCATTAATGTCAAAACGTTTAGGTTATAGCAGGGTAGCAGGCCGGCTTTGTAATGCTATTTTTTTGTCATTCTTCCAAGAAGCGTGGTATCCACTAAAAACTCGCAAGAAATTTTGTGCCGAGTGTTCAAGCAGTGGCTGAAGACGATCAGGAATCATGCCTGAAGTAGGTGTGTCTTCCAGTTAATAGGTGAACAAAAACAAGCTCTTGTAATGGGTTAAAGCATTAGATGCCATCGCACTCTTTACCTATTTGCATTGTGCGACAACTGGTTGTTCTTTCGCTGTTTTAAAACGCTTTAGAAGTCGTTATAACGCGATTGATTTCCCAACATTCAGCCTGCCTAAGGCAAGTTGGCTAACAAGCTTTAAACAACGTTGTGGCTCAGTGGTAGATTACAAGGCTGTGACCCAGTGGAATCGGGTTCGAGCCCCACTGTGTCGTAAGTGTTCGTGCGATGTGGTTGCAAACCACGGCGTGGCGGTGACAGACAACTACGTCGCCACACGTGACCACAGTTTTGATCTCATGACTGCTTTCGCTGTAAAATAGTAAAGATATATAACGTGGCAAATATACGTAGGCATGCATTGCCAGCGAAGAGTTAGGCGCTCTCATCTATTTTTTTAGAAAAGTTGCTCTCGGCCTGGTTGGTCTCACTGTGTGAACGTATATTTGTAGCCAACAAGGTAATCCGTAAGGGAGGAGGACACGGGCAGCCTATCCCGCAAATTTTTTCGGTATGCACACAACATATGTTGTAAAACAAAGCGTTAGGCTAAAAACCACTGTCACGTCTCATAGGGTGACCAACGCTTCAAAAACTTCTCTGAAGAGTGTAGTTGTAATGGGGTTTAGCCGATGCACGCTTTGCCCAACTTTCGAAGATGAAATACTTGCAAACGATTACCATATTGTCGTCCTTGATTCCCCCTATGTGCGTCCGATTAGCAGCAAATATAACCTCCAACTCTGATCTATCGTTATAAAATGCGCGCACTTATGACACTATAGATGTTACAAACTATGCCACGAAGCAAGAGACCCATGCATGCGTGAGTGTAAGCACGGTTACTTAGACTCGAAACGAAGAAGAAATAGTGTTGCTGAAAACACTAGGGGATCTTGTTGGCAATTGTTGCAAGCTGAACTAAAGAACAGTTTAAAAAAACAGGCGTACTTACCTTTGTACCAGTCTATTCGGGCCTCCGCTCCATAGTTTTCTGCAGTAATATTCGGTGGCATCGCTGCAGTGGTAAATAAGTTTTTTTATGTATTACGGTTTATAAAAGAAATCTGGTACAGAGAATCACCCTATTGCGAATGCTGCATTCACCTAATCACAGACTGCGGTGTTGCGTCTCTGTTGCAACAATGCGTCTAAACTCTCCTGCCAGGCTTCTTATTAAACGTGAATGATATTGCAGGTGGCCGCTTATACAGAGCGAATTTTCCTTGAATTTTCAAGAGAAAGAGAATAGATCGAGAGGCTCGGTTCTTTGATTTTATTAAAGCTGAATTGAGTTATCTAGTTAAATACATTTCTTAAGAGCATCGTCATCATCAGCCTGACTACGCCCACTGCAAGACAAAGCTGCTCTCTAGTGTTCCAGCAGTCAACTTGGTCCTGTGCTTGCTGCTGCGACTTTAAACTTGCGAACTTTTTACTATCATCTGCTCATCTAACTTTATGTCTCCCCTTCACCCGCAAACCTTGTAATCAAGTATGTGATTCCAAGAAAAGTAAATTTAGTCCGTTCTAACTAGAGGTGTTCTTGTCTTCGAGCTATATGCCCTGCCCATGACCTTACCCTCTTTTTGATTTCAACTGTATAGTTTGATTATAACGTTCGACTATGCTTTTTACTGTGATTTTTCAATGTATAAGCCCCTTAAGTGGTAGAAATGTGTCAGTCGTGGACAGAAAACTATGATCATCATAAACCGGAACACGCCCCCTTCGTTATCTACTTCAGAGTTCACTTAGCTTCCAAAACAAATTCACCCCTGTTTCTGCACGAGATGCAAATATTCTGATGGGTGAGTGAATAAGTACAGACAGAAAAAATAAACAAAAAAACATCAAAACGAAAACTAAATAAACATGGAATGGAAAATAATTTTTCATAAGGCGAGATTTTAACCAGCGTGCACATGATCCAAATGCAAGTGTATTAACCACTACGTTATCAAGGCACACTGAATAAGCATAGCATAGCCTTGTATAGTATTGTACAGCAAGATGTCGAAGAGTAAAGTGAATGTAACCAGAAGGAGACTGAAGAAGAACGTGAGTGAGACAGCTTAGAAAAAATGGAAGCAAAGACAAATAGAAAATAAAGCAGATGAGGGAGACAACCAAAGAAAAAGAAGTAAAAAGTGTGAGATAAATAGAAAGGATGAGAAAGTTAAGTGCAAAGAACGACAAAGAAAGGTATGGTGTGCAAAATAAGATAAAAATCAGGGAAAAACAAAGAATAGTAGATGCAGAAAACATTAGATAAAAAACATAAACAAGAAGGAGATGCACGGAAAAGAAAAAAAGTATACAAAAGAACTAAACGAAATCAAGAAGTAAAAAATCTGTAAAACTGTACCATAAATCAAAAGACAGAGCTTTGAAACGGTCTACAGCTTCAGTCAATTTTATCATTGCACCTCCCGTACCAGCTATGCAACCTTCTATTTTGTTTGTAGGATAAATCAGGAAGTATGAACAAGAATTATGAAAACGATCTATACAAGCGATACTGCAAAGGTACGTGGAATCCTGGAATTCGTCCGTTTTCTGTAAACTAGAAAACATAGAAAGGTAACGCTCACTGAACGCGGCTCATCTAGGGGCCGCAGTGTCTTATATTATGGTTCAAACAAATGAGGATGTGTGTGGAGCACCTGTAACCGCCCACAAAAAAAGTGCCAGAAAAAATGTTCACGGGGAGCTTGAAATAACCACAGTGTTTTGCATAGATGGCAATTTTTGGTTCAGAGAAATTCGCGCGCTACAAGATTCATATTAGAGGTATTACTCCGCATTCATATGCACAACGGAAAAATAGAATATTTACCCTATGTGAAAATGGCAGAATCATCAATATCGTATTCGCTTTGAAATTACCTCAGGTGTTTGAATATTTCAGAGCACTACACTACGGCGTGTCTCATATTTATATGGTAATTTTGGGACGTTAAAACTCCCAAATCAATTATATTGTCTTTCCATTAAACTGACACTTCAGAAGTATGATCGCAAGGCCTGTATTGTGATGCTGACCTATGCACTAGCAAAAATGGCTTTTTGTTTGGATCCTATATAAAAAGCTGGCGTACTTTTACTGCGCACATATAAATATGTTGCTTACATTCCTAATTTAACTACTACTAGCTACATTGTCGCGTCTCCGAGTACAAGATCAGTGTTGTTTTAAAAGCCTTTATTTTTGTGACAGGCGAATACAACCGTATTTCTACTGCTTGTTGCACATTGAAGTAAACCTAGTACAGTACTGTAGTAAAACTAGTAGTAAATCACATGAGTCCAACAGACCTTTGGGTCAGTGAAAATGTAAGGGTTCAGAACAGTAGTTTTAACTATATTTCTGTTAAAGCAACGTAACTTGAAACATAGTAAAGTGCATGACAGATGACGTTTTCAGTTGGTTGATCTGAACCTACAACTGTTGTCCTACCGACAGAAAGCTGTTTTTGTGAAATATAATTATATTCAATTTGCGTCGCAACTACTGCGTAACAGTCAAAGACAGCACTTCATGGCCTCTATATTTTTCCGAACCGTATTTTCCAATGAGTTTGTTTGTTTTAAATTCGCATACAAACGAGACCTTCTAAAGAAACTCAACTGTCGTTCATACAGTTGTATGCATCAATCTATGGAACATTGTTCAACCTTTTTTCCAGAATGAGTTTCCGTACCTGTCTGCTAGACTTCGTTTTTGTCTTTGTCGCTATGTTGTTCTGCTGGCACACTCAGTCATTACAAGCACTTTGCAAAATGTACTAAAGCAGGCTGCGTACTCTTGCTGCAGACTTGTCTCTCGGTATCCGTACAATGCAATGCTAAAATTCACTCACGCTATCAAAGAGCCAACAACTCAAAAGCATATTTAGTTACGACGTACGTAACACCAACACTAAATGAACAGGGAAAGTATATCTTGTTTCAAGCCAAAATTATCAAATAGCTATTCCTCAACTCCTAAACGGATTGGCTACAGGATGCATATGAACATATGAGGTCTCTGCTTAAATATAACTTTCTGGGTATATTTAAATAATGAGTTGAACGTCTGAGTAGTGTGGATATAGGGATGGGTAGGGAATGAATTCTACTTACAGTATTCAGTGTTCAGAAGTTTTTTAATCTCTTGGTCAGGAATTTCATACAGCTCATGAGCTATTCGTCCATCCAGTGATCTCTCCATGCCTTCCAAAGGTTTGATGCGTAACGTGTCGCCGAGGACGCCTTCCTAAATAGAATAGCACTCTTTAGCATATACCCACTCAGACAGTGATAAACTAGAGCACGAGACACCCCACACAGAATCTGATTAAGATTCTTGATAAGTGATACGTATTAAAAGGTTTGTTACAGGAAACCTATGTAGTAATTCCAGCCTTGCCTAATACAGTCGTGGTGAACATCTCTCACTTGACCCCCTACCCCGCTGGTGTAGTAGCTAAGGCACTCTGCTGCTGACCCGGAGGTCACGGGATCTATATCGGGCCCCGTGATGGCTTCATTTTAGATGAAGGCGAGAACGCTGTGGACCCGTGCGCTCAGGTTTGGGTGCACTTTATTGAACCCCGGGAGGTCAAAATTTCGGATCTCTTCAATACGTCGTGTTTCAAAATTATAGAATGTTTTTTGGACGTTGAACCTAACTAATCAATCACCAATATCACACTGAAGGAAACTCTGGGTAGCATGTGAAGCAGTGAAGGGGTTGCCTTAAACTCACGTTCATCATGGGCACTTTGGCCGGATGTTAACGCGTCTTGCAAATGGAGCATGCCATGAATTTGCTGTAGTTTTGTAGCTGTTACGCATCGTGAACTCTTGGAGCACGCCATGACAGTTCATCGCCACGAAACGCGAGAGCATGTGTGTTCAGCGCGCGTCTGCAGAATCTCGTTTCCTTATGCCATCTCATGATAGCTGAGAGTGTGTAAAGTGGATTGAATTAAATTGGATAAACTTTTATTTGGTCCTCCAAAACACAGATTACTGTGTTTTGGGCCACTACCTTGTTGGGACAGAGATTCCGAGCTCTTCAGCCGCCTCGCGGTCTTGATGGACAGCCCAGAGCTGATCTGCCAAGGACGAGCTGCGGATTTTCGCCTCCTATCTGGCGGAGCTTGGTGATGTTCTATAAATGAATGAATTTGGTATAATGCCGGAGCATCTGTTCTAATTAAGCTATTTGCCCACAATGTGGGCAAATGTTTTTATAGGTGAGGGTACATGATGTGTAACACTTTCAAAGTAGTGTACATCCGCGTTTGCAAAACCTTAATGTAAGTGCTTGAGGCCAAGTTGGATTTTTGTGAGGTGGAGCGAAAATTTTGTCTGGGCAGGTAGAAATTTTTAGTGAGCATGTTATACGTTGTGAGAATTTCCCGGCTATCACCTTCACCAGTAAAACGCATGCCCGCGGAGGTTGATTTGGAGAGAGCTCGCACCGCCTTGTGTGCTGCTTCATTAAACTGGGAGGGAAGTCGTCGATTTGTCCAAGGTGAGCTGGGACTCAATTCGGAAGATGATGCGTAATGTCCTTGCCATGTAGTATTCTGAGCGTTTGTTTTTAGACCATTTCCTTTGCGAAACCCCGCAGTGTTGTCATGAAATCACTGTAGACGACTTCAATGTAATCTATCTTGAGTGCCAAGGCGATGGCCACCTGTTCTGCAATGATTGGGTCTTTTGTCCTAACCGTCGTTGAATTGACGACACGGCCGGCCCCATCGACCACCCCTGCCATAAAAGCTCTTTCATTGGCTTAGGAAGCCGCGTCAACAAATATAACCCCTCTTTCCTCGTTTGAGATTTGACGAGGTATAGCGCTAGCCCTCGCTACTCTTCTTCTGACGTTGTGTTCTGGATGCATACTTCGTGGTATATATTCTCCCTTATGTTGTCGGGGATACTATCGTACTTGAGTCTAATCGTCAATGGGTGCTGGCCCAGCTCCTGCAATAACATTCTCCCCGGCATTGTTGTGGATAACCTTGCAAACTTTGCTCGCTCTTGCACTTCTCCTATTTTTTGGAGCGTGTTGTAAATGCCAAGCTCAAGTAGACGCTCGGTGCTGGTGTGTATAGGTAGACTCCGGACCTACTTGATAATTTTTATGATGAGCCTATTCAGTTTCTCGGACTCTGTCCTAGACCACTTGTTCATTGCTGCCTTGTACGTGAAGGGGCTTAGAACAGACTCATACATCAAGCGGGTGAGGTTGTCTCCTTGAGCCCATTTCTTTTGTGGGGCACTCTGCGTGTGAGGTGCACCGCACTGTCTGTTTTTCAAGTAAACTTGGCTATAGAGTTGCTGTTAGCGCTGGCAGACTCTATCAACATACCCAGGACTTTGATGGATTCCACCCTCAGGATGGCAACCCCTTGATTTGTGCGGAGGTGGATGTCTATCTGGTTTAACGGCCTCCTGGGCTTTGGTCTCCGGCGTGTAGTCCAATACATTAAATGTTATGGCTTGCACAATGAGCACTTCAGCCCAGAAGAATGAAGGTACGCTTCTACGGTGTCAATCGCCTCTTGGAGGGTGATTGACACCGTAGAATCTGCCCCTCATTACCCCCCTGTGCACCAGATGGTGATGTGATCTGCGTAGATGTTGTGCTTCAATACTTCGATGCTCGATAACTTTTTGACAGTTCAATCATGACAATTTTGGACAGCGTTGGTGCAATCACTGCCTCTTGCGGCGTTCCCTTGCTTCTATCTCGATTGCTGCGGTCTCGATATCTGCGATCATCATCATGGCTTTGCGATCAGTAAAAAAGGATTATACGTAGTTATAGAAGGCTTTCCCCAGACGAAGCTTGGAAATTGATTTGAGTATGGATGAGTGGTGGATGTTGTCGAACGCTTTTTTTCTAGATATAGGTACAGAATGGCTCTCATGTCTCTGGTTTTATTGTCGATGACCTGGTGTTTCATAAGCTTCATTGGGTCTTGTGTGAATTGCCCTGCCCTGAATCTAACAACATTGTGTGTATAGATGTCATTATCTTCCAAGCACTTGTTTGTCCTGTGCAGTATGGCATGTTCTGCAACCTTGCCAATACATGATGTCAAGGATATCGGCCTCATGTTGTACAAGTTGGGGGCTTTTTTGGCTTAGAAATAAGAATTGTGTTGGCCAGCTTTTACTGCTCTGGCACGCTGTCTTCTCTTCAAGCTGCATTCATCATATCTTTCAGGGTCTCAACCGAATCGTCATCAAGATTACGAAGGGCCTTACTTGATATACCGTGCGGGCCGGGGGCCGACCTGCCGTTGAGATCATGCAAGGCTCTTCGATTCTCCTCGATGTGAAAGTTGCTTTCAACACCTGAATTGGGTGTGACCTTGTACTGTCTTTGTCTGGACTTGATGTCATTGATGCATCACTGGCTTCTGCAGCTGCTCGCGATCTTTTCCAACGTCTGCGTCTGACGGCGTATGGCACAGAGAACCTGTTCTTTCACTCTTTGTCTGCAGTGGGTTGGTGACCATCGCACAGCCTGTGCCTTGAATCGCACTGGTGCAACTTATCTGGATTCTTGATCTCGCAGGCTCTGCAGAGTGTTTCAGGTGGGTTCGAACAGACTGCAAACTGATGTCGCAGCTTTCCACCGACGTTGCAAATGTCATTGTCTTTGCGGTAAAGGAAGCACTGCAAAAGTAAAGATTCATATCAAACGAATCTCGGCACTTTGTGTCCTTCGAACGCTATGATGATTGTCCCAGTGTCCCCAATTTTCCCGGCCTGCAGCACGAGCGGGTTATTTGCGTTCACAATCTTTCGAGTCACAATGTTTTGAGTATCCCTTACCGGGGTCCCGTGAATCCTTCCTTTACAAGTATCGTGGGGTGCCGTGGCGTACGTGGTAACATCAAAATTTGTGCCTGCAATGTCAATTTTCTTGACCTTGAGGTATCTTGAAGCTCTGTCCTGATCTGGAGTGCATGCCACCATAATATCCTGCTGTAAGTTGGAACAGAATATGTCCTGCATGGCCTCTTCTTCTTTGACGCCAACCGCCAATACTATTGCATCTGACCCAGCTCCAGCGCCAATTCTCGCGATATATAATCCTGCACGTGGTCGTAGCACAATTTTTCTAAATTCCTTGGGCAGTGGCGGCATGTGTCCACCTCGCACGATTGTGTGCTTGGTGTCATGTCTACTACGAATGGCTCGAGCGCCTCCCCCAACGCCATCCTTGGTCGAGCCTTTGGCAGCGGGAATGCTAACCGCGGCAAGTTTATTCCTTGGGCGTCTCACTTTTGTTTCCTTCCAGCCCTTGTCTTCCGTGCAACCCTCTGCAGAGATGTCCTCTCCATCTACTTGGCATTCCTTTCTCAGTTGCCGCTCCTGAAACGCGCAGAGTGTTGAGTCTTGATGGCACCGTGCTGGCACATCGGCGGCAATCGCCTTCTTGGTGAGGTTTAAAGCATGCGGTGGCGTGGCCGTGTAAAATATTTAAAAAATGGTTTAAAAGTCCACTCACCGGCCCCAAGATGGTATCTACTGATTTCTTGAGTACTAAGGCGCATGATGTGACTGAACACTCGGCGACGAATTTGTGGGTTCCAGGGCAAAGCATTCTTGAAAGCAACAGCTGATTATCGCGCGTCCGCACTGTCTCTTTTTAACATCTCTGTGTAAAGGATAGACGCCACAGTCTCTGACACAGCTGCTTACGCAGGTAGAAACGCGCTGACGCTTGATATAGTTTTGGATGTGCTTGGGCCAGCTTATATGTGGTTCTAGTTTATTTATTTATTTATTTGAATATACTGCAGCCCTAATGCAGGGCTATAGCAGAAAAGACATCCGGGTAGCCAACCGGATGTCTTTCTGGGTAACCTCCCTGCCTTCTCCCTTTTTGTTGCTTCCTCCATCTTTACTTATTTTCCAAATGGGCAATACCCTCGTCAATGAAATTTCGTAATGATAGTGAACGAATACTGCCTGGTAAGGAATTCCTGAGGTCTATAGTACGTGGGAAAAAACTAATTTTGAATGTGTTAGTACGAGCAAATAAAGACTTTATTGTCAAGATGTGGTAGCTGCGGGTGCAAGCTGGCCTTGTTCAGTCTAGGCCAGCTGTTGCAAATGTGCAGTAAGGGTGGTTACGCTCACTGGTAAAGCTTCACTATAAGCTGTTTTGCATCAAAAGGTTTTCAAGTTAGCGACTACAATTCTTCTATGCGCCGTCGTCATAACTCTTTAGCTTATTCTAGA